AATTAGTTATATTTTAAATATATAAATATATTTTAAGTCAAAATCTGTGTATAAATATAATAAAAATGAATTGATTTATTGGTAAATAAAAAACAAATATTTTACGAAAATTACAAACAATTGAAATTAATTTATCTGCGATATCGGTATCGCTTGAAATGGAACCACAGCTGAAGAATATTGTTGTGGAACTGACTCCGGAAACCGCTTTTGTAGGAATAATTCCACTCTCTGTTCACGATTTTGAAACAAATGTCTTCATAGGGCGGACCAGAGCTGAACCGAATGAACGCAAAGTCTCTGTTCTCCGGACAGGCGGTGATCTTGAATGTGGGCGACTGTCCCTTATTGATCAAATCGGGGTAAAATATATTGAATTTGTATCCCTGAACCACTTTGGGCGGAGGATTGTCCACATCATAATGGGTTTGATTGTATTTATTCCACTCAAACCCGGTGTGAACTCTATTGAAATAGCGGGGCTTTCGGGGCCGGTATTTGTCAGACCACGAGTACTGCTTCTCAATGTNTCTATTGAAATAGCGGGGCTTTCGGGGCCGGTATTTGTCAGACCACGAGTACTGCTTCTCAATGTGTTTGATCTGCTCCTCAACGCTAAACATCGCCTCTTCGTTAGACATACCCTTTCGCGCCTCCCTTTCGAAGGCCTGTTCGGCGACACTCATCGCAGAATTGGCTGCCCTTTCAGTCGTCTCTTTTTTCAATACAATATTCCTTTGGTCTTCCAATTGTTTCATATCGTCTATCGCTTCAATTAGTATTAATTCCGATTCCATGTCATTCATGGACAGTAGTTTTGGTGAGTATTGACCACTTTCATAGTCTTCAACACACTTAGCCATTGGATCCACTTCTTCTGCTTCATCCTCTTGTAACTGCTCGTCGATCACATCTGTGGTACTGCTGACCGGATCCTCTGTTTTGACACAAGAACTCTCATTAACAATGGGAAAGAGTGGTTCGCCATCCACTCGTTCAGTGGTTTTAGAGGCCATCTGTTCTTCTCTCAATCGATTCAACCTCTTATTGAGGTTCACGTCATGCAGTTCTCTGAGTCGGGCTCTGGCCATATGTGCCTTCAGTTTGGACAGCAATGACTCCCAATAGCCGATGTCTACTCCCTCTTCATTGGAGTGTATTTTCTTCTCGATCTGTGTCTGCAATGCATGCAATTGTGTGGGAGTTTTGTCTTTAAACACTTGAACCACTTCCTGAGCGACGGCCGGATTAATGCCTTCCCTTCTCTCCACAGAGTTTTGTGACTGAAATTTCTTGAGTTTATTCAACTCGTCTTCGACTATGATTTGCATATCTTTCCAAAACTCTAAGTTCTTTTCGCTGTCGAGAGTCATATAGACTTTGATGTCTTCGAACAGATCCTCCAAATCAGTGATTCGGAGACCATTGAGACAGATGTAGGGCTCGACTAAATCGGCGGCCATTTCTTCGCTCTTTTCTGCCTCGTCGTCGACCGGGATGTCAG